AACCAAAAACTTCATCAGATAGATCCTTTTGGTAAGTAATATCATTTTTTTCACTTAATTAGAACTGTTTCTTTATTTATTAAATGTATTTTTTTATCAAGGCTTAAAAAAATTAAATAATGTGGCATCGGCTTTTAATTTATAAATATATATCTATTTACAATACAGTACTTACCCGAGGAGGGGGTTAAACATTCAACCACCACCTCTCTCTCTTTTCTCAGACTATGCAGTCTAAACATTAAAGTCATATTATGGTTTTAATTTTCAAAATCTTCTCCTTCCCATCCTAAAATTGGTTCAAAATACGCCCATGCCCACTTAATTTATAATTTACGAATTATTTATAGAAATCATCGTCTTGTTTATAAATGTACAATAATTAATAATATTTTACCATTATATTATTATTGTATGGCTGTTACAATTAATAATATTTTAAGATGGATAAGTAATACTTTTTGGTTTGTTAATACTAATTTATTTTATCATGTAGATAGAACCTTTTGGTCTTAACAATATTTAGTTATTTAGATTGCTACCTATCAAATAACAAATGTGTAAATTGATTGACTTATTTTAGTTCTGGATAAATCTTCAAATAATATACCTACTAGGCTGTATATGAGCTTATATTATAGAGCATTAAACTACATGTATTAAAAAGTGGATTTTCAAAAAAATAGATTTAGCAACTTTTGGTTCTGAGCCTACGATATACAAAAATGTACGTTGTCTATTCAGTAATGACGAGATAATAAAATCAGTAAAAACATTTATTAAACTCTTACAAAATAAATTTTTTGGTGAATCATTAAGTAATAGAAAACTGCTGTCATTAAACCCATTCTTTGACATGTTTGTGTTCACCTTAGAAATGCTACAGACCTAACTTGTGACCATCGGTATCCTATTATGAATAAATACATGTGTATTTTTGATACTCTAATTTTTAGAAACGAACAAGAAATGTAATTAAATGCTGCTTGGGGTTGACATTGCTTGGATGTTAGTGAACTTGAGCTTAAAATGTTTAGAGATAAATCTTATGCATTCGGCTTCGTGTACTTGACCGGAACGCAGCAGAATCCCCTCCGTGGTTTTATTGGAAGCCCGGTGGCATTAACTTCTGGGACACGGTCTAGGGCCACACTAGACGGTACCATAAAGTCTAATATGAATATTGTTTTATCCGCGTCCGTATCCTCTTCAGCGCTGACCACGATGGCACGGCGCAGGAATTCTATTAACCCACCGTGTTCAGCAAAGTGGTCTTTGCAGATACAAGAAATCATCATATGTTTGAAGTTCAATGCCATGTCCAAGAATTCCATCATTAAACAAATGGTATCTGCCAGCCATTGGTCCACAACTGGAAGTGACGATTCACCGCTAGCAACTGACCACCGTGATGGGTTGACTGGCGTTTTGGTAATGTCAACCGGTGGCAAAGTCAACTCGGCTAATCGTTTTATATCACTATCCGTCATGGGCGAGTATGCGGAGAAGAAGTTTGGTGGTCCACACCTGTAACAAGCAGACGTTGAACAATCTAATTTTCCATATGTAAACCGAATAAAGGGACCTCATTACTATACCATTTATAGTTTTAGTCAAAACTATTGATTATAATTATTAAAAGACTTGACACTCATTACAATTTTTATCCCGGTAAATTATTCTACTCTTTATATCTATCTACTTAATATGATTATTGGCACCAAATGTAAATTATGACCGAAGCTTCAGTTCTCATTTCCGTCCTTTAAATTATAAGCCATTTATTTTAAAAAATTTTAAAATTCGAATTCCTTAATATCATAACTGGTTTTAATTCATATACATCGTTTAGAAACATTTCCGGACAAACTTAAGGCGAATCGTTTTACTGTTCTGTTTTGAATAATTATTTATGTAAGAGTAAATGAATAAGTCCTACCTGTTGCGGAACTCAGCTGGTGACTTAATCCAATCGATAGCTCTTTCGTATTGCATCAATTCGTCTTTGTATAAGAGTTCAGATTTCATCTGAAATATGTTCATTTTTTTTAGACGGTCAGCCAATGATACCAGTTTTGTTTTACACGGACTGAGGTTTTGCTGTTCAAGTTCTTCCAGCTTATAGAGTAATAGATTTAATTGATCTAAAGTTGTCAATCGCTGAAAATTTAATGGCACTAAGGGCTGTTTTGCTGACACGCCTTCGGAATCGTCTTGTTTTTTGAACAACCTAATTACCAACCATAATATTAGCACTACAAACCCAATTTTCAATATTTCAGTCATCATCATAATATTATATTTTATATAACTAAAATTGAAAATAAAATATGAAGCTTGTAGCTAAATAAACATAGTATTGGATGTTGTGGAAACGTGTTGAGTTATAATAACAGACCTATGTAAATAAATCTACACATTAAAATTTAATTAATTAATTTTTTTTTTGAACTTCTTATCCAATCCTTCCCTAACCAAAAATGAGTACCTGTTCATAACATACCTATACATTTAAATAGATAAGTTGAGGTCGTTTAAAATTCTAGCGCTTAATACGACCATTTTCCAGAATCTCTTTCCCAAGTTCTCTCAAGAGAACGGTAGGTACACAAGCATTTGTTCACTCCATCTTTCAAGTGCGTAACATACCAAATTAAAGTTAATTGCAGTTAATCTGCAGTTAATATTTAGCTTGTTAGTTTAAATATTAAAGTGAATTGACCTTTTATTAAACTTAAAGATTTGAACATTTCTCTATGTTTGTATGTGTGTCTTTTACGATGATTCAGTTTGTAAGTGAGTCATGATTATGTTTATTTTGCTCTATATTATATACTCAAAATTTTCTAAAAAATTGAACTATCATAAAAAACCAAAATTTTTTACTATTAATTCCATAATATTATGATTTAAACCCCCTAATTTAATTCCCTAAATATATGTTTTAATGTCAATAATATTAATCTCCCAATATGTGCCCCCAGTACCTCCCATAAAGATCAAATAACAAAACAATAAAATCATTCTTTCAACTGCTCCTCTTAAGGCGGTTGAAAGTGGACCGTTTTTAAGGGCTTGAGTATAGGCAATATGTTATATTCATTAGGAATTGCTGTGTGAGTGTGTGTGTAGTAACTGATCATTAGTGTGCGTAAGTTCCCCGAACGCGTAATTATTTCGTTTTATCAGTAAACAGTTCAACAATAATTTTATTACCGTCACAGCGCGCATTGTATTGACAAAACAGGTATGTAAATACAACATCGTACTTACATAAAGTATAATGTACCTAGTTCATAATTTTATTCAAAAACATAATCGTTATAAATTATATATTGACAACAGTAAGTCTTTAAAAAAACAATATTCAACTTTGTGACTAATTACCCCAATAAAAATGTGTCTCCTGTAAATTTGTCTCCCTATGTAAACCGTATGCCACTCTTTCAACGGCCTCTGACTTTTTTAAACGTACCCATCTTCACATCTCTGGGACACCATCGTTCTGCTCATATCTCAACCTCAACCGTAATTTTCAATTACATCGTGTTTATCTGTCAATTTTGCTGTGTCATCAACCAACATGATAGGCTAAGCATGGACAATAATAAAGTAAAGTATTTATGCCATACACATTTTGAAGTCAATGATATAAACAAAACATTTTACAGCTTTATTATAGAATATTTAAGCATCAATAATTCATAAATAAATTATAAACATATTTTATTATATTTTATTTCAAAATTAAACTTTAATTTGTGTAACTTACTATAACCTTGGACAAACAGAACACAATTTACATTAAAACTTGATGCTTTACCTAAGACTATTATTTTTAATGAAACACATTGTCATAAAACATTAAAATGGTCTGTAGATGAATTCCTACTCAGTAAAAATGTATACATGGTCATATTATGCTCATAATAAGTATAGCCTGATATGGACTACGCAAAGCTACTGAAAAATTGTGAATTTCCAAGACATTTGGATTGTGCAACGTGTTGTAGGTCAGTAGGTGAAATACCGATACAAACCTTTTTTTTCTTTCGTAAATACATTATAATATAATGGGCCCAGTGTTGAAAAGTACTTGAGTAAAAGTATTTAAATACTTCTTAAATTCTCAAATACTTAAAAAAAAAATACTTTAGCTGATATGTACCTACATTTTATGAACTTTCGGAAAAACGAGTTTAAAGGTTTAGATTGCAATGAAAATTACAATTTGGAATTAAATACATTCATTATTTTATGATTATAATCAATAATCTTGTATGAATTAAAATATTATGCCATAATACACAAATTAGTATTTCAAAAGTACTTAAGTCACAAATAAAGATATATCATTTTTTGCAAAACATTTATTTTTTTAAATTATCGACATATCAACAAATAAAAATTATAAAAGACAATTAATAACCTTTTTTTTATTATAGTAAACATTATTATTTTAGAATAAATCAACATAGGTACTATAAAAAGTAAAGTAAAAACATACAATTTATCTTTTGAGTATAACAATGTTAAATAATTAATATAAGATACAATAAAAGTGAAAAATAAAACAACTTAAGGATTTAAAATATAATATTATATAATAATTTATCCTTCATTTGAGGAAGAATCACTGATTAATAACAGTTCAGCAGCATCTTTAGAAGTTTTTAATTTTTGGTAGAAGCTATGGCAGTCTTCATGTATCAAAGGTAATAGACTCAAAAAATCTTGTTTTTTTTTTTGGATTGATGGGTAAAGGACTTGTATAACAATTGGTTAATTCTGTGGTATATGTTGTTATATTTTTTGGTCTTCCTCTTTTACCACTTTGTGTGAGGTCTAAGACTCTAAATGGTTCTTCTGGATTGAGACTATACTTAAACTGCAACTGACCATACATTTTTTTCATAATGAATCCATCTTATATAGAACCAATTTACTCTTTGCCCATCAGTATCTACTGTTTTCTTAGTCAGTGAAGTGCTTACCAAATTTCAAAATGAAAAAATCTGCTCTTGTTTCATTTCTATAACTTTAAATGGTTTCTTTCCTTTTACTGTCCTAACAAATTGATACCAATCTCTTGGTATAATGATAGGAATATCTGAATATTTTTTTGCTCTTTCTATTTTTGCATGGACTACATCACACTCTAAGTGAATGTGCCCTGGCAGTAAAAATTGTTGGTCTATTATTTGCAATGTTGAAGAATTTGCAGTAACTAGACTTAACATAGCAGACATATTAATATTTCGGTTTTGTCCTCCACATGTGTCAGAGTAAGTGATGACATGGGTTATATTGTTGGGCAAATTTAATATTTTTTGGTATAGGCAAGATGCTATATCGTTTGATCCTCTTCCGCCGATTGCCTCGTGCCACATATAACATTCAGTACCTTCATTTTCCCCACAATCTCTAATGGTCAAATTAAATGTTCACAAAAGCCTTTTGTAGAATGAAACATTTGTAGATAGAGCCGGAGTATCTAGAACTTGTTCTAAATCAAATACTAAAACTCTAGTATTGTTAGAAGCTAAATTAGTAACTGGTGGTTGTTCTTCACACAATATATTACTAATATCATGGATGTCCATTTCATCAATAACTTCAGTATTAATACCATTGTTGATTTCTTGTGATACAACTAATTTAAAAGTAATAATAATAATTAGAGAAAACAATTAGATATTATGTACTTTTAAATGTGTTAAAATATAAAGTTTTATTTGTGGAGGTACCTACCTAAATTAGTAACTGGTGGTTGTTCTTCACACAATATATTACTAATATCATGGATATCTATTTCATAAACACTCTCAGCACTAGGGACATTATTATGACATACTAAAATAAAGTAGTATTAGAATTAGTATAGTAAAATATTTTACACAGAAGTAGAAAACAAACATTACCAGGTTCAGACTCTGAATCTGAGCATATCAGGTCTGTATTAATTATTTCATAGGTTTTGTCCAAAATATCATCATCATCAATCTCATCAGTGTCAGAATTAGTAGTAATTGGTAATGCATTGTTCTAAAACAAATGTTATTGCAATTCGTTAAAAATAATTAGAATAACAGCTTCCATTTTTATATTTTACCTGATGCGATTCATTTTGTGTTGAACTGAGCCCCATTCATGTACTTTGTGATGATCATTGTTATAATAATATACTGGCTTTACTGTTTTTCTCAGTGAATGCCTCTGCAATAATATTATTATATGTTAACTTACATTAATATTATTAAAATCTAAAAAATAGCTTGATTTATACTGTACTTACTACAGGGTTTTCAATTTTTGCATTAGTGTTGGTTGTGGTTACTTTTTTTTTCAAAGATTTTAAAAAAGATGATCTAGAGTTGAACATTGTAAAGTAACACAGCTACAACCAGTAAAAAAAATAAAATAGTAAACACTAAACACTAAACGTCAAACTATAGTAACTAATAACTTTACTATATAAATCTAATATTATATTATTATACAATAAAATCTAAAATAACTTTATAATATTTAATATTAACAAAATCATGTAGGTAATATAACTGACCAAACAGCCAAGGTACATAATATGACAATTATTTATCAAGTTGCCAGCATGTATTTTATCAAAAATATGACTTAAGAACTATTTAAAAGACATATCAAGTTTTGCCACCTCGTATATTTTCAAATAATGACATATCAACTATTCAAAAGACATATCAAGTTTTGCCGCCACGTATATTTTGATATAATGACTTATCAGGTTTGGTCCTTGCACATAGATGGCACCACACACATGAAAGACATACCATATTTTGCCACCACTTAAAATATACAATTTCTAAACTATTTACACGATAATCCAAAAATTGACAAAAGTGACATATCAGCTTTTGCCATCATTCCACTTGAGTAAAAGTATTCAAATACTTTTTAAATTCTCAAATGTTAAAAAAAAAATACTTAATAAAGTATTTTAAACAGTTCATGTTCAACTGCCGACCGTGCTAGTCCGTGCAACAAGTGTTCTTATTGCACTGTTTATTTTATAGTTTTTCGATAGCACAGGAAACTCGTCGACATTTGGAAAGGTAATATGTTTTAATTAATATAATACCAACAGCCCATATTCAAGAAATGAATAGAACCTCTAAGGGCATTTCACCCAAAAAACCCATACAGAATAGTTCATACACATCAATCTCAAATACAACCTATTCCATACCTAAAACCAAAATAAAGAAACCATCACACAAAACCACGTCGATTCAACAATCAACCAAAAACATAGTAGTGCAAGGCACTGACCATCGGTGTTCCCTCAACCTCAAAGAGTAATCATACTTCACGCATCGCAATCAAGAACCATATACTACCCTCCGCCTCATCAACACCCCCAGCGATAACAACCGCACTGCAGACACTATCGCTCACCACACAAATAATAATACATTCTCTAATGACCGCAAATAATCTCTTCATCAAATAATATGAACAATAATAATATAAACTTCGCATCTGCTGTTGCCATGGAAAAAAAGCCAGCCGTGAACAAGCCTTAGTATTTAATACTATTGACGGTATACCACAAAAAGACAATGTTCTTGCAATAGGAAAAATTGTTTCTCTTAAAAATATAACATTCATTTCTAGAAACTCGAAGAACCGTTTTTGCATCTTTCTGTCCAGCAAACATATACTCGACAATTTATTACAAAATACTCAATCAATCAATATCGATGATCAAATTATACCAATACCTAGATTGTTAAACCCGGCAAAAAGATACATAAAATAAAATGTAAGCTCATCTATACCCAACCCAGCAATTAAAAACGCCATAAAAATTTAGACATATTTCCCATATCACAAATAAACCACCTCAAAGCAGGAATTAACATTAAAGGCTTCGAGAATAATGAGTTTCCGAAGACAATTATTCATTAAACACGAAGACATTCCTAAAACTTTCTTTTTTCACCCATGGCATAGTAACTTGTTCCCTATGTAAAACCAGCGAACACGCCACAAATAATAATTATAAAAATATTGATGATACACAAAAAAAAAATACACTATCCAACTCAAAAAATCAAACAAACCCGTGGAGCACACTGAGTTAATTGAAAATCTCCCCTCTCCCAAGAGCCCAACGTTTGATATACTTGATCAACTAAATCAGATTGGACTGAAGATCTCGAAGAAAAAAATCTTTCCCTTTAACATAAAATTATCTCGATCAAGTACTGTCCAGCGCACATATTGAAACACAGAAGATACTGACGTTTGATTCGTAATCCTCTAAACCTCCGGATTCGCCTAATGACTTATTGACATCTACCACTACAAAAAAAAATTTAAATACATCCAAGAAACCCAAAATACAACCTCCCTCAAATTATTCCAATCATAACATTTAAAAGACCACTCCCAGCATCCAATTACCCAATCCCTACATTATAACTGAGGATTTTAATAACCCCAGTCCATACTGCGGTTCAGAAAAATCAATAGAAAAAATTCTCGAAGACGACAACATCATGCTTCCCCGATGATGAATCTAGCAACCAGCCAATTCTCAGCAATAGATCTATCCTTATCAAGCATTTCCTTAATACAAAGAGTCATATGGTCCGTTCTCCCCGAAATCTACGACAGCGATCATATACCTATACTAATGGAATTTCTAACTATTCACAGGTCAATTAATACTATACCTACCAAACGGGAACTTACAAACCCGAAATCGACATTCTTCAGCCAAATAGTCGAACTTAACATAGAAAATTACACGGACCAACGGCAACAATCTAAGAAAAAATCATACACATCACTGAATCTATTACAAATGCCGAAAATATAGCAATTTTCTAAACTAACTCAAAAATTAAGTATACAAGAGTCCCTTGGTGGAACTCCAAAGACTCAATTAAAAAAAAAGAACCTAGCATTAAAAATCTTCAAGAGATCCGGAAAAGTAGACGACTTCATTGCACTAAAACAATTAAGAGCAAAAACCAGATATTTCGTAAAAAACAGCAAAACAAACTCATGGAAAACCTCTACTACAAACATAGGCTCACGAACCAACCACAAACAGGTATGGAGCAAAATTACGACAGATTAATGAAAAACAAAGCAATATATTATTAATAAAAGACCAACTCAACACCGACTCTGCCTCAGTCTCAAATATTATAGGAGAGAATACTTCTATAAAAAGAGCTCTGATGGAAACTTCGCAAAAGACTTAAGAGGACGTGTCACGAACGAAAAACGTACGCGTGAAACGACCGAGAGGATGCCCTGTTAGGTGTTTTCACGATCCGCAAGCGCGCTTACTATTCTCAACCGGCTGACGGCGGCGACGAGTGCTCGTTCGGGACTTCGGGAGCGCCATTTATTTGTCTATGAACGTTCGTCTAGTACCATTCGTATCGTTGTAAAATTCATAATACGCTAAAGCCGCCGTAATATTTTCAATACCCTCGCGTACCTATGATCTGCCGATTATAAACTAAGATACTGTTTACCAGTTACCTAAATATATGTCCCAATATATAGATCGTAGAAACTGTATTAGTTGTATGTTATTATAACATAGCTTGATTTGTAGTTATTTAATTATTACTTATTTAAATATAATACTTAAAGTAAAATCGAATAAATCATAAATAAAATAAAGACAACTTAATTAAATTAATATTAATTGTCCGTGTTTTATCTTTTACGTTTAACTGTTAATGTTATATTAAAATATGACAATAAGTAATCACAAATATTTTTTAAAATAATAATATGTTGATGGTAGGTATACCGTATAAATAAAATATAGGTAATATATACTAGTAATGATAATAATAATGCTCTAAAATCAATATTTATCAATCTATATTTTTTAGAGATCGTGAACAATCACTGCCTAAAAATAACTAGTTAAAAATAAATATATAGTTCTATAATATAATGTCAACAAATTTTAACGTAAATGGGGGAAAAAATTATTTATTTAAGTTCCTAACTGTTTGTTTAAATCTTATATAATAAAACGCTAATAACGCGTATAAGATCCGCGGGGAGCGCTCACGGCACTCCGCGTTTCTTCCATGACGACCAATCACAATACTTCCCGCGCGTTCGCTATAAATTCCGCTCGCTTATCTCCCATTTCCTTATCGACGAATATTTTCGAACATTATTATTATTATTATTAAAAAAAAAACCCGTGTTTTTCAATTTTTTGACGTGAGAATAACGTCTTATAAATCGATTACCCCGCGACCGTCGGGCGGAGTGGGGGGACCCATTAAACGAGTAATTATTTTTGACCAAGTTTAACTTAGCCGGTATTCGACTTAGAGACCCCGTACCAATGGGCATCTCAATTTTTTAGACCCCAGATGAATTTTCAACATTAGGGAACCAAAGCCCCCACCCCCCCCCACATTTTGAGTTGAGTATAACTCGGCCGGAATTCAAGTTAAAGACCTCGGACCAAGGGGGAACCCATTCTTTTTATGAATACTACCGTTTTCCGCTTTAGGGAACGGGGGCACCTCCTCCCCCCCTTTTTGGATTTTGCTTTTTTGATGGATTTTGGTCCGGGAGAGTACTAACACCCACCTCGCCAAGGGGAAACTCGGGGTTTTGAGTTTTTGATAGGATTTATTGGGATTTTCTTAAATATTGTTTTTATTGATAAGGAAAGTGATAAGAATTTTATTTTATCGCCGCGAGCACGGCGACGCGGCTTAAGAGTCATACATTTGCCTCGAAACTTCATCTGAGTAGGTGGCTAGGTTGGTTAGGCGTTAGGATAGGTGACTCGAGGGTCGTGGGTTCGAAACCGCCGTCCGGGATTTTCGGTTATTTGCGGCGGCCGTACTAAATCAAATTTCTTATTTTTGCGTTTTTTTTTTCGTCACATTTATCATTTTTAACGAAAGTGTTAATTTTTTTTTTAAATTTGCATTATTATATTATATATATTATTATTATTCGTTTGACGATATTTATTGGGCAAAAAAATAATTAAAATTAACATTTAATTAATACTTGATTTTACCGACGCACCTACATGTTTCTTTTATTAACACATTATAATAACGTATAACTAACCTACGTGTAGTACCTACTTGATATATTACAGTTTTTACGTGATTCCGATTTGGTTAAATACTGCTACAGATTATAAATACTATATTAAAAAATAGTAAGACTATATTTGCCGTTTTTTTCGAAAATTCGAGTCCCGGGGTGGAGTAGTGTGTCAGAAACGAGAGTAGGTACCGTGTAGGTATCGCTATATACAGGCATATATACATGCGCCTCGAGGTTCGATTTTTTTCGCAAATCTCGCGTCTTGAACGTCCGAAGGTGGCGGACATGGTGGTCCGCTCAAACGCCCTTAAGAGTCATAGATTTGGCTCCTAATTTCATCTCGGTAGGTGGCTAGGTAGGTTAGGCGTTAAAACGGGTGATTCGACGGTCGTGGTTTCGAACGCCGGCGGGGCCGTGTTAAATCGAATTTCTTTTTTTTGCGTTTTTTTTTCGTCACATTTATCATTTTTAACGAAAGTGTTAATTTTTTTTTTTAATTTGCATTATTATATTATATATATTATTATTATTCGTTTGACGATATTTATTGGGCAAAAAAATTATTATAATTAACATTTACCGACGCACCTACATGATTCTTTTAATAATACATTATAATATAACTAACCTACGTGTAGTACCTACTTGATATATTACAGTTTTTACGTGATTCCGATTTGGTTAAATACTGCTACAGATTATAAATACTATATTAAAAAATAGTACGACTGTAATATGACTGCTTCATTTGCCGTTTTTTTCGAAAATTCGAGTCCCGGGGTGTCGGAAACTCGGAAACGAGAGTATGTGTAGTGTATTCATTTATAGATACCTACGTTTAATAGGATATAGTAGTAGTAGTAGTAGTAGTAGATATAGTAGTACATTTCAATAAAATTTGTTATTCACCAATATAATTATCTATTTGTTAATTTGACTTAATTCTCATAATTAAATAAATATACATGGAAGGTATATTTTAGAAAATATCCAATCAGAAAATTAGATTTTGTCGACTTATTTGTTATAACCGCGAAAACATAACAATGATTACATTGATTACAGTGAAGCCTAACATAAAACACCTGATAACTGTTCTCTATAATTATCAACAAATACAATTTTATTACCTCCTGTATACTTTTTCATATTTGAACGGCCGTTTCGAGCACTTTTCGCTGTAGGCGGATTGTCCGTTCGGGAATCGGATTTCACCCGAGATGACTGATAGCTAGACACTCAAACTCAGAATCCGAATTTCCGATTTCAACACACATACGAGAACCGGACACACACGCCCGGTGCATGGTCTGCGATCCGACGTAGTCGGATTGCCTACCTGACTAGCTACTTGCATACGAGCGACTTACACCCCCACTGCATCTGACATTCGGGAATCGACTTTCACCCGAGATGACTGATAGCTAGATACTCAAACTCAGAATCCGAATTTTCGATTTCAACACACATACGAGAACCGGACATACACGCCCGGTGCATGGTCTGCGATCCGACGTAGTCGGATTGCCTACCTGACTAGCTACTTGCATACGAGCGACTTACACCCCCAGTGTCCCCCACTGCATCCGACACTCGGGAATCGACTTTTATCCGAGATGACTGATATCTAGACACTCAAACCCAGAATCCGAATTTCCGATTTCAACACACACACTCATGAACCGGCATACACGAATGGGGCATGGTCTGCGATCCGACGTAGCCGGATTGCCTACCTGGCTGGCTGTGTCTTACGATCGACTTGAATCGCGTGACTTACGACTAGACACTCTTCCGAGTTCAAAAATTACCGCTTAAAAAGTGCTGCCAACACGACAAAACATAATACCCGACGACCCCCCTTCCCCCCGCAGGCTGGATCAAAAAACCCAGCATAGCCGACAAAGATGCACCACCGCCCACACAGTCTTTCCGCCGTAGGCGGGATGACAAACACCGGAATCTAGTTACTTTATAAACTACTATATAAGTATTACACAATTAAATTAATTACAGTTTATCATACGTATACAATCAATCAATAGATTTAGTTATTTATTAGGTATGTGACCTATTATTTATCATTATCACCATATTTTTATTTAAAAAATAAATTATAATTAGGTATACTATATTAATATAATAAAATGGTACCGAGCAATAATTTCCTGTTATTTAAACATGAAAAAAATTAATACAAGTTCAACAAATAAAATATAATTTATAATTTTCTTTTCTCTTTTTTCTGTATATTTTATTTTTATATTTTAATATTTTGCATTCGTTTTCTGTATTGAGATTTGAGAATCAACAATTTTAGGTAGTAAACATTCTTCGTAAATTCTGAAAAGTATAATAAATTCTAAACTTGAAAAAATACCAATAGAATTTTATTAATAATTCATAAATAGAAAAAAAAATACCATAACATTTTAATTTACTATTTACAAACAATTATACAATTTAAAATTTGATTCCATTTTTTCTTTCTAAAATACTTCTGAGTAATTAATAACTTCGAGTTTGTTCCACTTTTGAGTAAATATAAAAAAATACCATAAATTCCGTTTTGTGATATGCATTTGGCTTTAAATCTGATAGTAGTAAATACTGTTTTCATTTAACTTGACTGTATGGTTATTATTTATTAAGTACATAATCTAAAAGCAACGTTATTATTTTAGTGGATATTAAAATTTACATTACAATACATTTTCATCTAAACAATTATTCGAATAAAGTTTTTTAGATTCTGAGTGAAAGGGTGAATGTATTTATTTTACAATGATGTGTGTTTTTTTTTTATTTTTGTGTCTGTCATCACCATTTATTACAGTAAAAATGTTTGGAATTTCTTCAACAGTATCTTTTCTGATAGGAAAGTGAATTTAGTTGGTACTTTGGGGGTTCAAAAGTAAAAATTTCAAAATTTTTCCAAAAGTGCCGTGAAAAACAAAAGAAAAATTAAGGAAATACAAGAATTTGTGTACTCAAAATCTGTTTTCAAAAAAATCGATTTTGGTTTTTGGTACAACTCTTAAATAAATAACCGTAGGTGGATGAAATTTAAAAGAATGTTTATATTAACATTTTCTATACACCATAACATTTTCCACATTTTTTGACTTATTTTGAACTGTTTACGGACATATTCGGTTTCCATTTTGTTTATTTGTTGGTTAAAAAAGCTTAAAAATTAATAGAAGGCTCCTTGCTTGATATTGTTTCAAAGGCAGATGAAAAAAATTAAAAATACGTAAATATGACGAAAATTTTGCAAATTATTTTGAGATAAAAATTTGAAAATGTGATACAAGATTATTCATAAGTTTGTCTATCTTTGTCAAAAAAAAAAGACTTCAAGCAAATCAAATTAAATTTTTATGAGTGTTTTAATTTCATATTTTTACGATATTTGATATTCACTAGATTTCTCATAAAGCGATTTTGTTATTTCATTATTTAAAAACTAATAACTGTAAATACATGAAAATTATACTAAATGTTTATATTTTCATTTTTTATACACCATATAAAATTAAATATATTTTTTTTGTGTGTGAAAAAAAAAAATGGACAATACATATGACAAAATGAAAAAATGCGTTTCCGGGGGTTGCGGCTAAGTATGGATATTATCGTCTACAAATAATATACAATTTTGTATTGGTTTTTTAATGATCTTTTCCAATGTTTTTATTTCCATATCTTCTGATTCTATACCATAGTCGATGGCATTAGTTTTAGTACAGGGTCCGGCAGAAGTCATGACACGAAAGTAGAGGGCGTTTGTTTAGGCTGTGGTGGGAGTAGCGGAGTGGGATTGCGTGCGTTGTGTAGCTTTGACGTTGCCATTTTCAGTATCCAACATGTCATGGTCGGGTAAACAACGTGCGCTCGTTGTGAAGTGTTTTTTTCAAAATGGCGAGTCGCCTATAAAAACGCAGCGCGCTCTGCGCACAACGCTTGGCCTTGGTCGACACGATCCTGTTCCCAGCTGCAGAACAATTAAACGTTGGGTGGATAATTTTAATGAAACTGGATCTACTGAAGACAAAAAGAGAAGTGGCAGACCCCTTACAGCCAGAACACCTGAAAATGTTGAGGCTGTAAGGAACTCCTTTCTTAAGTCACCTCATCGTTCGGCCAAGAAACATGCAAGCGCCCTTGGTTTATCAGACCGATCAGTGAGACGAATTTTGCATCTCGACCTTAAATTCCATCCTTACAAAATGGCTAAAGTCCAGGAATTGCTACCCAGGGACCAAGAAACTCGAGTGGAGAGTTGTCGAAGAATATTGGACACAATTCCGGTGAGTGCATTTTTGCTTACAAGTGACGAAGCTCATTTTCACTTGTGTGGAACTGTGAACAAGCAAAACATGCGATACTGGGCACCTGAAAACCCCCACGAGATTCATCCAAACCCTCTACACAGTTTAAAAGTCACTGTTTGGTGCGCAGTTTCCCGTTTTGGGGTCATTGGCCCTTATTTTTTCGAAGAGAGAGGCCAAACAGTGACAGTCACTTCTGATCGCTATGTGGCCATGTTGAGGGACTTTTTTCAACCCAGACTCGCAGAATTCAAGAAAGAAATTGACGAGGAAGGCTTAGATGAGGTTTGGTTCCAACAGGACGGCGCTACGGCCCACACAGCCACTCGATCAATGGCATTGGTGCGCGAGCTCTTCCCGGCCCGTGCCATCTCCCGCAGAGGGGACATTAATTGGCCCCCAAGGTCTCCCGATCTCGCCCCCTGTGATTTTTTTCTGTGGGGACACTTAAAGGCAGAGGTCTACAAACACCGTCCTAAAAACTTGGAAGAACTTAAAGCCGCAATAATTCAAGAAATCGCAGCAATTCCACGGGAAATGACCGAGCGAGCTATGCGAAGTTTTCGTTTCCGCCTTCAAGCCTGTATCACCAACGAAGGTCGTCATATGCCAGAAGTTGTTTATCATACATAAATTGCACATCTTATGGAATGTATTAAATATAAAAAATATTGAATTAGAGTACGTTTTCGTGTTTTTATTGAACTTTACTTTCGTGTCATGACTTCTTTTATGTATAGAATTTCAAACACTGTATTTTTACACAAAGTGCTCGGAAGCATTTTACAAATGTTAAATGTTAAACAAATTAGAAGCGTATGACGATTTCTTAGTTCAATAAGCAAAGTTTGGCTATCATATTGGTTTCGGGTTTCATACTCTAATGTTTTTTTGGCAGTTAATGAAAGTGTAAGTGATTTTATAAATTCTGCTTTTCTTTTAGTTTCTAATAAAATTGTAGTCAATAAGTTGCACATTTTACACTTAAAAATCTATGTAGATTCAAAGCCTTTTCGAATTTCTTTAACAAACTCTAGGTCAATAAAAGTGCATTTTAGGGGTGTCCATTTTTCTACATGAATTTTAAATTTGCAGTAATATATATATGCCATGTCTACAATTCGTCTACCACCAAGTATACACTATTAAATTCACTATAAAAAATATTTAATAAAATTAATATAATTCTATAATAAAACTCTAAAAATGCCCTATAAAAAAATATTTGAAACATAAATAATAAATAAATTATAAGTATACATTAAATTATTTTATTTTTAAAGAACAAAAATTGTTTGTTTATTACCTAATGAAATAATAAAATTAAGCAAAAAAAGAAAAATATTTACTAGACATGTACAATTTGTTAATATTATGTAGGTGAAAGCTACATAGTACCATTGATTTTATTTTATATTATACAATCAATGGTGGTAGTGTGGTACGTATATAAATATAAAACAAATGAGTAGGTAAACAAATTAAATAAGTCAACTTTTTTAGTTATATTATAAAGAAATAATTATTAGAAATAACGGTGTACATAGATACAGTTTAACCTGCTAATACTTTCTATCGTGGTTTAGAGTTGATGGGATGTTATATCTGAAATATCCAAATCGTCGAGCTCCCTAAAAAAAATTTAAATTTCTTCAATTTGTGTTGTCTTACCCTCACTGGGAAAGTTTTATATTCCTTATTGACTATTGTTACATAAAAATAAAGATACTAATAATTTATTTATTTATCTAACTTACGAGATTTCACTATCGGCTACTGCTATAAATTGTAGTGCAGGTATTGAAGTTGGAACTTGGAGTAGATGGCAAATCGCAGTTATTATTCTCACTAAAATTGTTTATGAACATAAAATATTATATAGGTACCTATTGTCATTTAATTTTTGTAAATACTAAGACTATTTTTTTTTTAATTTAAAAATTTTTACTATCTCCAATCATATATTATATTGTACTGCAGGTGCTAAAACTTGAAGTAGAAGGCGAATAGCAGTTATTATTCTCTCTACAATTGTTTATGAACATAAAATATATACCCACTCAATTCCATCTGTAATTTTATTTGGTTCATTATATTCAATTTATATGTACCACTTACCTGGTGGTGGCTCAGATTGTCTACATTGACATTATTCTACATTTTTTTGAGTGTTTCTTTTTTTTTAACCATAAGCAAATAGTTCGATAATTGAAGTAATACAGTTTATTAAAATTATTTACATCAAAATACCAATAATAAAAGTTATAAAGAAGAACTTTTTTAACAATCGTAAGAAGCCCGATTTTTTATATTTTTATTAATTAGTTAAACAATTAATCGATAGAAAAAAAAAATTTCAATTTACCATGCGATATATTGGACGATGGAATACCATATAAAAAGTTGGATTTCTTACGATTGTTACAAAAATTCTTCTCTAAAACTTTACGAAATAAGAAAACAAAATATAAAAGCGAACCAAATTAAATAATATTTGTCACAAATTATATAATAATCATTTTCTTATCTGGTTATTTATAAACTATGCACGGGTGCTCGGCTGCGAGGGAAAACCTGCTTTGACCATGGTGGGGTACTGCCGATAACGCGCCGCGAGGTGGTGGTATGAACACCTAGTATCGAACGCTGCCACTGCTTCCGGGCACAGCACTTGACGAACGTAATTTTCCTTTAAAACATACTTTGCACGTTCCAATAATAATATGGACTAATGAGTGGCTTAATTGTAAAAACATCTATAAACAAAATTGTAGAGGAGATTTTTATCTGGTTCCATAAGAAGCTAAATTATTGATATCTTTAAAACACCACGAAATATATCATGATAAATAATACACTTTTTTTTAATTTTTCAATAGTTAATTTTAGGACTTAGAAATGAACATTTCAAAAATCGAGCTTCTTACGGAACCAGATAAAAATCTCCTCTACAATTTTGTTTATTGGTGTTTTTATGATAAAACCACTCAGTAACCCATGTTATTGGAACGCGCAAAAGTGTTTTTATAGGAATTTTTCGAGTGATGTTTTTCTGTGACACGTCCTCTTAATAGAAAGATCCATGAACCAACGTAAACAACAATTCATATTATCAAGCCTAAATCCACACCTCGAAGAAAAAATGATTTGGAATACAAATATCTCAATGGATGAATTAAAGACAGCTATATAAATGTAGCAGTCACTCTCTATTTAAAATCACGATTACAGTGTATGGTTTTTTGTATTATGACACATCCAGTGTATTCTTTTAGCGGATGAACTTGGATATTTTTTCCACAGGAAATCCAAGCCCATTTTTTTTACATATTCGACATCGTTTTGCAGTTTTTCTTAGTGGAAAACTCATAGGCTGTGAACACACAATAATAAAATACACTTTATTGTCATAATAATATTATCATATCACCATAAAACGTTAAATGTACTTAAAATATATCAAATAGGTAGTCGTTTTTTACTAAAAAGTCCAAATTGACATTGTACACAACCGTGCTGAAAAATGAGTTTTTCATTCTATGAAATAAAGAAAAATTTATTATCGGTTTACATTCGTAACCACGTAGGTACCTTCACTTCACACACGCATGCATGTTGTAAAAAAAAATATTTGTCTCGAGTCTGTACATCATTAACCAATAACCGCACATAAAAGTTGTAAAGTTAACGCCTCATGTATATTATGATAAAACTATATGGGTAAATATAACTTTACAAATATAGCTGTGAATACATTTATTATGCACTTGACGATCATTGTAGTATATATGTCATTATTAGAATCCGGGATTTGCGATAGTTAAATATAAAATATCTATAAATTAATAAATTGCAGGTTGTTATCCGAATAGAATAAATTATACCAATATAATAAAGCTAAAGAGTTTGTTTGTTTATTTGAACGCGCTCATCTCAGGAACTACTGTAAACTCACATATGAAGAGGGTACTTCGGTTTTGAGACGTTTAGTTTTTGACATGGGCAATAAGTCGTTCAAATCTTCACTTAAGAATTTCTTTTGGCTTAATTTTTTACAAAAAAAGTGAAAGAACTTTTTAAGTGAAGATTTGAACAAATTATTGGCCATGTCGAAAACTGAACGTCGTAAAAACGTAGTACCCTGTTCATATTATGTGAGCTTATAGCATTGCGATAGGATAGAATAAGATGTGATTTTCTTATAAGACATGTTTTGAGCATTCAAAGATTATGGATTTCTGAGTGGTTTTATTGTTAAAACACCTATGAACACAGTTAAAGAGAACAATATTTTTAAGGGCCCCAAGTAGCAATTTTGTTGTCTTGTAAATTTTAGGCTCACTATATCGTTAAGAAGTACCGACTTTTCAACATTTTCAAACGATTATAACTTTTCATAAAATTAAGTTTTTGAAAAAAACCTAAGTGGGGCCCTCAATACTATTGTTATTTTTAATTTTGTTAATAGGTTTTGTTGTCCTCAAACCTTCCTGGAGTAATTAATTTGAAATCTAAACGTGTTTGTTTCTGGTACCGAAAACTCCGATACTCTTAAATAACAATAATTTAGGTACAATATTATACAATCGTTGGAAGTTCGAATTCATTAGTGGTTAAATGTATAGTGATAATAAACCTAAATCTCCTACTACGCGTTCAATGATTATATGCTTTTATCATAATTCTATAGACTCACATATGAACCGGGTACTTCATTTTTACGACGTTCAATTTTGGACATGGCCAATAATTTGTTCAAATCTTCACTTAGGAATTTCTTTTGGCTTAATTTTTTTTGTAACAAATTTCTTTGCAATGTTTCGTCTCTTTTTAAAAGAAAAAAATAAGTACATAATATAAAAGAAGATTACATCATTTATACTAGTATCGTATGATTTAATCTATACTTTTCTTTAAGCCGATTTAACAAACTTCTTTCAAAATCAATATTTTTCTCTTTTTGCTCTTGGAGTTCAAGGTGTCGCTCATTTTTCTGTTTCAATTGGTAATTGGCTATTTGACGATGTTTACTAAAACAGAGTAGGTATAATATGCGCTAAATGTTAATTTGTTTTTTTTACAATAGTAGTAGCCCACTGCTCCAGTCCAAAACACACAATTATATACATATTAAATATTTTAATATAATAATCAAAATAACAATATACATTCATAAAAAGGGGAAAAGTATTTCCTTAAATTTATTTTTTTTTTTTGGTTTCATCCAATTCTAAATTAAATGACTTTACAATTTTACTTTTGACCTCCCAAACTACTAACGTGATTCATTTACCAAAAAAAAAAAAATATATTGATAATTTAAGTATTCTTTCTATTTTAAAAAGGAGTTTCAGACAAAAAAAAAAGTAAGTGTATGTCACTCTGCTGTACATTAGATTACAAGTTTGTAAATGTAAAATGTATTGCATAAACTTGAATTCAATGATATAATATCATTATATAAGAAAAACGACTCTGAGTGGAGACTGTTTATCAGGCTAGATTTTTTAAATTTTTATTATTTATTATACATAGTCTTTAAGTTGAATTAATATTGTATTGTGATAAATATTCGTTGCTACGGTGATAAATAAATCGTTAGAAATTAAAATCCCATTTTAAGCGGTTTTTCG